TTTTTTTTTTTTTGGTAGAGAGGGGGGACGGGACAGCTCAACAAGCTACCCTACGATGGTAAGTCACGCCGACAACATCATGCTTAAGCCACGATTTCAAACCAGCTGGTGGGGATTCCAAGCGTTGTAAGCCATCCGGACTAGTCGCAGCTAAAGAAGCCAAGTAATCTGTCGAGAAGTTTGATTCACGGTAAACATGCCAGATACACACCCTCCAATTCCGATGCAACACCTCCTTCGTAGCCCGGACTAGACTACTATGCACACCTTCGACTTCAGCCCGATTATTCACCAAATCCGCCACCACCTTACTGTCAACATCGGCTACAACTCGGCAATACCCCAAATCCCATGCTAGCAACAAGCCTTGCAGCAGTCCCATAACTCCGCTCCCAAGATGGAGCTAGACCCGACATTCATAAGAAAGCCACCCAGGAATCGACCATTATGGTCCCGAAGTAATCCACCCGCACTTGCCATACCAGTAGAAGTGTTGAAAGCGCCATCCGAGTTACTCTTTATCCATTCCGGTCCCGACGGTTCCCAACAAATCATTCGAACCCGACTAGTCTTCACAGATTGTCCAAGCTGCATAAAACTAGAACTCGCATTTTTCATTGAGGCCACATAACTACGGACTTCATGAATAGTCCTATCCACCGCAGGCTCGAGCCAATTAGTGGTGCCTTGCCTTTACCTGCTAAAGTTGTAGGATTTAAAAATGATTTAATTTAGCTGCTAAAGAAATACTACTACACTTGTCCATCACAGATCCGTTGACTCGTAACCGACCATTTGAAGAACCAAAAAGATTCCACATGTTGACACTAATTTTCCGGCGTTGGAGGCATCATTACCTGCGTGGCTTTTCAAATATGTAATAATACTTTATTTTAGTTTTTATTTTGTGAAATAATAAGCCGCCAATGAGGTAAACGAGCATTAGATCTCTTTTATAGTCCCAATTCCGATGAAAAAAATTATCATAAGCATAGTCGTCACGATTCAAAAATAACTTTCTCGTATTCAGCTTTATTAACACCACTCCTCACTACAACCAATCTCAATTCATAATAAGAAGCTATCAGGGCAGGACACGTGGAAACTTGGCATAGCAGTGGTGCTCCAGCAATGGTGGCGGAGGAGGGGCACCAGTCGAGCCGCCATCCCTAGCGACAGTCGCATCACAATAGCCACGAAGCACATCACTTTCTTCAGCCGTGATCCCCAGCGAGCGAAGCATGGACGGCCAGCACTCGTGCTCGATGGTCCGTATGGCTCCACAGCATGCGGGGCCCAGCTGCGTCTCACCGTTGAGAAAGAAGAGCACAACTTCACCGCTGCATGATTGGAGCTCGAACAACGCGTCCCAACACGGGCTTGTGGCCGTGCCTTGAGGATTGTGCTGGTCGAGCTTCAGGCGGGCCGAGAGAGTACTTGCTGTCGAGTGCGGGTTGATTTTACGGGCCGAGATCGTTGAGGAGGAGACGAGTAATGAGGTGAGCACGAGGGAGAGGAGGAGTTTCGATGAGTAGGTAGCCATTGTATAGTTGAGTGAGTGATGTATGACAAAAGAGATGAGAGATGGGGTGTGCTTTATATAAGGAGGATTATGAGTTAAGGGTGTTTATGAGGTTAGGGAGCTTAAGGGACAAAATTATGTTAGTGGGAGAGGGAAAGGGTTAGGAGTTTAAGGATTGGTGTTGTAACGGATAGAATACGAAACAAGACTTGGCATCAACTGTTGGGTTTGCTTTATCATGTTATTTGTATTTGGGTACTTGAGAACTTTATTGAATCTAGTATGTTCAAGGAGTTCTTTAAAGATTATGAACAGACAGGCACAAATGGAGAGCAGAATGAGGCAACACGATCTTGTAACCGTTGATCTAAATGAGATCAACGAAGATGTGTTAACTGGGGGCACAGATTACGAATTTTTTAGTGGCATCCTTGATATTCAGCCGCAATACTGACATGCGTTATTTTTATGTGCATTTTAGAGTGATTTTTGTTTCTATTTAGTTGTAATTTTATGTATACTATATTATTAATTTAATTAGTAATAGAAGATGGGGTCTTAATAATTATTGAACTCGAAAACGGCAAGAATCGAAAAAAGACGGATAGTGAGCCATGCACTGGGACAAGTTCTACTACAAGGCCCGCAGGGAGAAGCTAAGCCCAAATGGAAGGGCCTTAGGGAAAAAATCTGGCCCAAATGCACAACATAAAAACATGGTCCAAAATCATATTAATGGAAGGAATGGTGGTCATATCAGTAGGAAAGCAGAATTACGTCCTTTCAGTCGTTTTTTTTTTCGGCCTCAAAATTGAATTTTGTCGTCCCGATTTGCCGGGAGAGACTTGAGAACACGCCCAAAAATGGAGTTTCAGTGTCTGAATGATCCAAGGTTGAACTCTCGACATTTTCACACGAGCCATGCTACACGACCTTAATAAGTAATTAAAGAACAATAACATAGCGCACCGAACTCACCCTAATATTTGGAACTTCACCTCGCAATTCGACAAAATATTACTTCATTTGTGCGAGATGAAATCTCTTGTACCACTTTCAGTTGGATGATCATGATCGAATTTCATAGACTTACCAAAACAAAAGGAATTAAAATAACAATAATATAGCACAAAGTATAATTAGAAATTCCACGCGTATTACATTAAACATAAACACAAAGCAGTAAACTGTAAACGTCACATTCTTTAGTAGTTTACCAGGACAGTAAACCACAGTTACACCATATACTACATTCAGGCTAGGATGCCTTTATGGTCTTAAATAAATAGTTCACACAAATCATATAACACTTGAAACCCTACTCGATGCCCATTTTCTTTCTCATATTCAAAACAAACTCGTAATTATCCTTAGGATCGGCCAAGGACTTGGACACGCTCTCTTTCTCCATGCACCTCTTACCCCATTCGATCAATTTGGGGCAATGCTCTTCGATGCTGAAGTTGCCGATAGTTTCATAGGTGTAAAACCAACAATAGAAAGGAACTAAAGCCACGTCCACAAAACCAAAGCTGTCCCCACCAAAGTAAGGCTTGTCCCCCAGTTCAGATTCCAATTGCTTGAGGATTTCTATGTACTCTTTTTTAGCCTCTTCTTGTTCTTCTCCTTTTGTCAACCATATCTTTTTCCCACCTTCGTACATCTAACCGATACAATCAAGTATGACCATCAGTTAATCTACGAGTAATTTAATACATACCAATTAAATTGGGAGAACTACCTTAAATATAATTTAACAAATGTTACCTCGTTAGACAGTTTCACAATAATTTTTTCGTCCAACCAAATCGTATAATTTTTGCTTATACTAAAATTCATCACCTCAAATATTTTAAGAAAATTGATAACCACTAAGAGAAACATTAATAGAGATGCACAACTGTAATTTACAGAAATTAGCACAAGGTACATACGAAGAAAACAATTATAACAAGAATATATAGGGGGGGAAATGAAAAATTGGGAAAAAAAAAATTAAAAAATTAATGTACCTTTTTGTCAACAAAATCAGCCCAGAATCTAGCTTGAGCTCTCTTGTAAGGATCATTGGGCAACAACGGGGACCGGTCCTTCCAAACCTCGTCTATGTACTGAACAATGATGAGCGACTCACAAACGGGTTTCCCGTTGTGAATGAGGACCGGGATTTTCTTGTGAACCGGGTTCATCTCGAGCAGAACCGGGCTTTTGTCCATCAGATTCTCCTCCCTGTACTCGTACTCCACGCCCTTTTCAGCTAACGCGACTCTAACCCTCATCCCGAACATACTAACATTGAAATCAAGAAGGATAACTTGATCCGCCATTTTCTTATTTTGGCAGTGAACAAATTGAGGAGGTTTGAGATTGTGATAAAAAGGCAGAAATCTATGTGTGGGAGTGATGAAAGCCCAAATGGGGTTTATATATAGTGTCGTTTTTGTGAAGGAGAGAATTTTGACATGTGTGAGTAAGTCAATTTGGATTTGAATTTGAATTTGTGGTTTATTGAGATTGTTCTAGATAAGATAACATATTGATTACATTCCGTGTAGGGCATTCTAGTTTTGGTTAATATAGTTTGAATTTGATAGCAGTTGGAACTTAGTTGCATTGTGAAAGTGAGTTTGATATTTGCACGTCTATTATATTTACGTATAGTGAGACGCCCCACTTTTATTATATAGCCATGTATCACACGGAACTGTATTAAGTTTATATAAAGACAGAAAATTTTGGTACAGAAATAAACTACTATAATTTTATTTCAATTGTATAAAATTATATTTATATTTAATTTCTAAAATCTGAAAAAGTACAATTTATTTACATCTACATTCAATAATATAACATCTTTCTACAGTTATGGGTGACCTCATGGCGCGTACGACATCACATGTAGCATAACTTGGATTTGGAATCTCGTCACATTATGCTATTTACAGGGTGACGTCACTGCAAATGTAAGACAAAGTTCCAGTGCAATACAAACATATTTATATTGATTGTAATTTAAGCTAATGATTATTCTGTCCAAATGAACAACAGTCAACATATATAGGTAGATAAAATATTAAATTGTATGTGTGAATATAATATTAAGATTATAAATTAGATAGTGAATATATTACATTTTCAAAATTTGATCATTACTAAAAAAATTAAACAATATAAATATAAATTATTTAAGTATATATAAATCATTATAGTATAAGTTTGTGGATAATGCATTTTTTTATAATTTTGATGGATCATTGTGATTTAATTTAGTTGAAAATTATTATTATTATTATCGTTGTCATTATTATATATTATTATTATAGCAGTAATTGTTTATAAGATGTTAAAGTGGTTTTACTATGCCATTAAAACTAATTAGCTATTTTTTATTTTTTTTTACAGAAAATCATTTCATGAGATTCTAAAAATAAAAATACTGATTTTAGAATAAAGAACTTAGAAGAATAAAAAAATTTCAATAGAACTCTTTTATAATTATGTGATTTCTACAAACATTTAATGTGAATTATTACACTTAATTAAAATAGTTGTAAGGATGGAACCTTGGCCGCACGATCATGGCCCCGATGTTTTGCTTTTCCTTGTCTATTCGTGTCTGATATGAAATACTCCCTCCTATTTTTATTATTTGACATCCTAGTTTAATTGATCGTTTGTTAAATAAATGTCGTTTTGGCTATTTTGTACATATTTTTCCATCATTACCCTCATCTAACTAATAAATACATTACGTCTTTTCATATTCACTCTCTATCTTTTCTCAAAACATCAATCTCTATCCTCATTGAGGGTTATTATTGCCAAAAAAAATATTCTTAATTATTGTGCAACTTCTCAAAACGACATTTATTAAAAATAAGAGGGAATATCATACTAGACTGGTTTTAATTGATAAGAAAGAAGAGAAAAGCTATAGGTACATAATATTGTACATTAGAGTGTAAATAACACTCACATTGATTGTTATGTACACCTCTATGTACATTTATTATGTACTTGTAGCATTTTCCAAGAAGGAGTATATTGAAGAATAAGCCTATACACATGGCTAAGGCACATGGCATAATGGTATTTATCAAGTCCAACTTGGGCACTCAGGTACACCATGACATGCGTCATTTTTATGTTCATTTTAGAGTGATTTTTGTGCTGTTTCGACGTAGTTTAATATTTAATTAATTATTTATTTAATTATTTTTATTAAGCAATGATGAGCTGTTTTATTTTGAATTTTGACAGGAAATATGGTCGAATTAATTTTTAGAGTCGAAGGCGATGAGAATGGATCGATTACGATGTGCGAGCCATGCATTGAGACGGATCCAATTGCAAGGCCTTATTTAAGGAAAGGAAATCAACCCTTTTGGGCCAAGAAAGCAGGAATTAAGGCCACTACATGCAGCCCAGTGTATATTTACTAGCCCAATTAAAATTAGTTTGAAATGGGTTGGCCCAAAAGCAACTTAGTGGGGATATAAGAGTAATTTATGCAGCGTGGTCTTCTTCTTCAACATACTAGTGTGTACCTCGTGCGATGCACGAGAACAATATTAACTTAACAATATTATAAATAGACCTCGAGTTTGAGTCAATGGAAGAAGTGAAAACTACTTAATAAACAATACTTAATAATTATAAATTAAATATTCGGGGTCAAACAATGTAAAATTATTTTATATAAGAGAATATAAAAAAATTTGATTACACACCATTTCAAAATTATTATTATACTTTTTTGTATGATTAGCTTAGAATATTTGTAAAAATATTAGTAATTAGACCGATGAAAATTAGCTTCTTAAAGTAGATAATGGATTTCTAGTAGTAATTATGAATTGATTTTTATTTTATTTTATTTTTTCTTTTTAAAGATAATGAATTTCTAGTAGTAATTATGAATTGGTTTCTATTTTATTTTATTTTTTCAAATCTGTATAGATAAGGGATGAGATTTTTTAAACACGTAAGATCGTATGCAATGTGATTTTGTAACAGAAGAGATAAACTCGTGTAAATTTATACTAAAAATAGGAAAAAGAAAAACAAATATTTATTGTCAACACGATAAACTAAGAAACCGGAAAAAGAGAAACAAATCTTTACACAATTGAGCGGATTTTATTGCCTATTCAGATTTGTCCAACAATTACTATATATAGGATATAATTAATGATTTTGGCGGGAAAATGTTTCTAAATTTGTAAAAAGGTTATTCTTTTTATATAATGATAGATTTCTCGCTCCCACGCCACGCAACTTAGTGGGGATATAAGACCGTCCAAGGCCGCCCAAGTCTAGCTCACAATCCAATTGCCAAGTCTCAAGTCCAAGACCCAACCCCAGGCCCTGGGCCGTTCCCGAGCCCAAGCCGAGCCGAGCTGAGCAGGCCGACGGGGGCGCACGCGTGTGGCCGAAGTCATCATCAACACAATTTGTGCATAGTTTTTGTTATTGTTGTGACCTCTTCAAATCCATATATAATAACAAAGAGTGTTAATCTCATATAAGAGTTCAATGTGAGATATGACTCTTGACTCGGCATCCCCGACATCATCCACAAACACGACGGCCCCATCACAATCTCCCAACTAACCGACTCCCTTAAAATCAACGGCTCGAGATCCACCTGCTTACGGCGCCTCGTGCGCCTGCTGGTCAACTCCCGGATTGAACTTTTCAACTAGAACTAAATAGATTGGTGTGCACAATTTTTGATCGGTCCACTCTAAACAAATTAGTACACAATATCCAACCAAAATTTGACTTGCTTTTAGGAAAGATGAATTGATCTGTTGAACTAATTTATCAATATTATCATAGTTTTTTTTTTTTTTTAATCTTTTATTCCATACCTCCCACTCTACCTGTATGTATGTAAGACAGATCATGGCAATATTTGGAGGAGATAATTGAACCGGACGTGGCCTTTTTCAGGCCTTACAAACTCTGTCGGTGAGTGTTAGAAGTCGAGATCAGAATATCGCTGGGTTTTAATGTCCGGTGACCGAATTTCATCTCTTTTCATATGGAACTTTACCAATTTTGTAGTTTCAATTCTGTTAAATGATGAAACGTCATGAACATCTTTTATAATCGTAACAAAATAACAATGATATAGCAGATAGTTAATTTGGGATTACACGCATGTAAAAACACCCATAAGCTACACAGGGGACAGTTTACGCAACATACTACATCAGGCTGAGATGCTTTTATTGTCTTAAATATATAGTTCACACACGTCATAAAACACACTCAAATAGAACAACAGAATACATAAAAACCGACACCCGAGCAACATCACGGGGCTACTCGATGCCATTTCTCTTCCTTGCAGTCAAAACAAACTCGTAAATCTTGTTAGGATCTGCCAAGGACTTAGACACGCTCTCTTTCTCCATGCATCTCTTAGCCCATTCGATCAATTTGGGGCAATGCTCCTCGATGCTGAAGTTGCCGACAGTTTCATAGGCATGAAACCAACAGTAGAAAGGAATTAAGGCCACATCGACAAAACCGAAGATATCCCCACCAAAGTAAGGCTTGTCCCCCAGCTCAGTTTCTAATAGCTTGAGGACCTCTATAAACTCTTTTTTGCCCACTTCTTGTTCTTCTCCTTTTGTCGTCCATATCTTTCTACTGGATTCAGGTACCTAATTGGACAATCCATATGATGATTGATGATCATGATTTATATATCGTAAGAATGTTGTAAAACAATTAATTTGAGAGAATGATTAATGTGTAACTTCTTCTTTTGTGCAGGTACCTAATTGGAATAAAATTGTACCTTCTTGTCGACAAAATCAGCCCAGAATCTAGCTTGAGCTCTCTTGTAAGGATCATTAGCAAACAACGGCGACCTGTCCTTCCAAACCTCGTCTATGTACTGAACTATGTTGAGCGACTCGCAAACGGGTTTCCCGTTGTGAATGAGGACCGGGATTTTCTTGTGAACCGGGTTCATCTCAAGCAGAACCGGGCTTTTGCTTGCCAGATTCTCCTCCCTGTGCTCGTACTCCACGCCCTTTTCAGCTAACGCGACTCTAACCCTCATCGCAAACATACTAACATATGTTCCGAGAACCACCACTTGATCCGCCATTCCTTTCTTGGCTGAGAACAAATTCTAAAGCTTTTTGAGATTGTGAATTAAACAAACCACTATGGTGTATTGACAGCCCAAAATGGGGTTTATATATTATATTGTCTGATGCTTTTGGGGGGAGAGAAAATGTAGTGTTGTGCAAGTCAATTTGGATTTTAATTTCTGGTTGGGGAATTCTTCTAGGTAGAAAAGTCCTACTTCCCTTACATAATAAATCCGTTAACCCAAATCAGTTTGAATGGAAAATTATTTGTCACAAATCTGTATTTATAGTGAATTTGCACATATGTAAATAAAATTAAATATTATAAGTTATATTTATGTATATAATATAAAAATTATAAGTTATATAATTGTATTATATTTCAAACATATAGTATTATAAGTTATATTTATGTATATAATATTAAAATTATAAATTATATAATAGTATTATATTTTAAAATTTGATCATTGGTTAACATAAATAGTACACACGATTTGATTGTATACGAATCACTATATTGATTGCATAAAATGTAATAAATATATACTTTTTATAATTTTGAGTGATCATGACCAATTAATTAGCTGAAAAATATTACATTTATTACAACAATTGCTTATGTGATTTTAAGAAATTTTACTATGACATAAAAAAAATTAATTTATTAATAAAAAACCGCTTCATCATATAAAAAAATATTGATTTTAGTGTAAAATATAATTTTATGTAACTTTCATATATTATTTAGTATAAAATATAATTACTAATTTTAATATTAACTATTATATTTGTCAATAAAAAATATAATTATTAATCAATTAACATAAAATATAATGGTTTTTGTCTTAATTAACCCAAAAAAATGTAATAAAATATTTTCTTATTAATGAGATTGGATGTATTAATGCCACATAAATAAAATTTATTAGGTCTTATTAATGATTTGCCACATATGTAAAATTTATTAGGTTTTATTTATTAGGTAAAATTTATTTCTTAGCTAGCAATTATAATTATATATATATATATATATAGATACAATACTAGTAACATACACCTACCTTTGATTACACGGATTTGTTATTTAAAAACCAAACACCTTTTAAAAGTAAATTTTAAAATAAAACTTTTCAGTTATATTTCTCGCCTTATATTATAATAGTTTTTTAATAGGGAAAAATGGGTGCCGTCCCATTCATGTGACCATGACAGAAAAAGCCAGATGAAGCCCAAGTGAGGTTTCCATCCCAAAACCAATTGGTGGAAGGAAGAATAACTCACTAGACTTATAAGTTAGACCTATTTTTTCTATATAAATAATATGGGACAATTCAGAAGTGATATTATAATATTATGAATTTATACATAATTTTTTAATTAAATATAAATTTATTAATTTTTACTTAGTATGAAAAGATTATATTATTTTTAATAAAAATATTTTATTTTATTTTATATATGCAATATGAATATAATCCTGACCTATAGAAACTACTTCCAAACACCAGAATTGACATATAAAAAAACTTATTATAATTCGACACATACGATTACGAAGCACCAAACACGTAGAAATGAACATTCTGCAATTATATATAAAAAGGAAAGTCACATTTTCTTTTGGCAGTCATGGGTGACGTCATCGCTTATGTAAGGGATTATGTGTAGCAAACATGGATTTGGAATCACCGAGTCGTTATGCTCTAGTCCAGGATGATGTCAGCGCATATGTAAGACATGTTGCAGAACTTTCCCGGATAGATAGATATGTTGTGTTAACGAGCGTTATATTAACTGTTTATATTAAGTATTCTATTTAATTTTGCTAAAAATAAATATATATGGAATAGAATAAATAATACTTCATAAAAATATTCTTTAGAATTAAAAATAATATTAAAAAATATTTTTTAATAATTATTTATATTTTTTTGCTTCACAATAAAAATTTTAATTCTTTTTGAATTTTTGTTGGACAGTTAGTTTTTTATGAAACACTAGTGTAATTCACGAGTGTTGTACTAGTATTTTTTTTTTATTTTGGTTGTTAATGACATAAATGTTTTTTCCTTATCTAATGGAATGTTTTAAAAATTGGATTTTTACTCCTTATCAGAATGTCTGAATCATTCAATTCTTTAACATTTTTTGTTTTTCTTTTTATACATAATGAAAATATTTAATGTTTATTTATTTATAATAAAATTATTGTAAGATAGGTCTAAGTTTATAAAATTCATTTATAATAAAATTATTGTAAGATATGTATAAGTCCATAAAACTATCATAAATTATATTAAAATTACATTGCAAATAAGCCTCCACTATTGAAAGTATATCGAATTTAGTGATATGAAGAAATAATTATTTTATTTTTGTACTACATAGGAGGCATTATTAAGAATTTGGTAATGAGCCTATCAAAATTTGATTAAAAAAATTATTAATTATAACTTAATCAAATTCAATTATCGAATGTTTTGAATCCAGTCTTTATGAAGCAAATATTTCACAAAATTTGAGAGGAGTTATTTAAATATGTTATATTTTACATAAACATAAATTGATATATATATATATATATTTGCCATAATCTGGATATGAACGGATGTATCAATTATTTCATTAATAGATAAGCAAATAATAATAAAATTAAATATTCACACTTTTTGGAAAGAGGCTTTATAATATACTATACACGTATCTCACAATATCGAAAAAGAAAAAATTATTTGGAGATAATATATTTTCTCATATCCTTTTATTTAACAATTAAGACGTAACTATCTTTAAATTGATTATTGTTCATGGTTACGTCTTTATCACTTGCAGATTTTTCGACATATAAACGATTCGCATAGAAATCTTTCAAACTAAATTATATTTGGAATTAATGATATTTGCAACGAAAAGATATTTACCACTCTTTTTATGAATTAAAAAAAAACCATAAATATATATTATTACTATCATGATAAAATATATATGAATACTATTTTACAAAATAAAANTCCAGGTGTACAATCTGCATCACAAAGTGGGGGATTGTCATGGGCCCGATCTCTGTGCAACCCGGGCTCGCCGGGCCTGTTTGTGATGTTTTTCGGTCGACGCCGTCGGTGGTCAGGTCGCCGCGAGTCATGACTCCGACTCTGGAATATGGCATTTTTTTTTTTTCAAATATTTATTTCATAATCAATAAAGATACTATTTTCAAAAGGTATATATCAGTTACTCATTTTGTGTTTGATTGAGTAAAGATTATAGGATAAGTAATTGACATATGTGAAAATATAATTTTTTTTTTTGTATAAAATTGTATTCCAAAAAGCTACTCTAACATAAGTGAAAGAAAAAATAATATTATTGACTTTGTGTACTTTAGCCAAAAATATATCAAATCAAACTCTTAAAAGAAGACGGGAATAAAACGGGCCAAAAAACAAAACGAAAAAAATGAAAAAGGAGATAACCAATACCCTCACTAACAACCCATAGTTCGATTTCCAGTTTTTTTCCTCCCTTTTAACTATTGGGCTTACTCGAGGCGAATCTATTTTCAACAACATTCCGATTAGCATCCCTTTTTAATTTCACACTCTCTGAAGTATGAGCTACAACTGGTAGATTCAAGTGTTTTCATGAGCGTACTATATGAGGAGAGCTGCCGAGACACTGAATTTTAACATAAACTCAAGGTAATCGAACTACCTAGGTAATTGGATTTGTCAGGCAGATTGTGATTTCCTGTTAGGATATAAAATATTTTCGTTTTATCTCGTTACCTTCATTTTCTTCTCTGCTGTGTAATGGCTGAAAATTTGATGAATTTAATGTTATAGGGAATTTTAAGAGTTTTTTCAAGCATTAATTGACGTTATTGTCTTTCAGTATCTTGCATATTGATGTTGAAGTTGTGTGTTTTATTTACGCTACTGTAGACGTTGCTTAATTTCATTGTTTACAAGGGTTGGCCACTAGGTGTTTGTTAAAAAGCCTGTTTGTGAACTCATGCCCTGAGATTTCTCTCTCTCTCTCTGCCCCCAACACATAATCAGAAGGAATCAAGAGCCGACCGACCCATCGAAACCGGACCTTGGAACTGTACATGAACAACAGTCTGGCAATGGAGTCAAATCAATCAAACACAAAAAAAGAAGAAATCTTTCGTCTTTTTGATGAAAATCGGACTCCCGGATTTGGATTTCTTGATTTCTCGGACAAAACCCCCCCACCTCCTCCCCCTTCCCTGGAAATTCCCGCCTCAGACACTTCACGAAATAAAACGAAGTACAATGTGGAGCCCGTGAACACGTGCGGACTCACTCTACTCAAGGGACGGGTGAGCACTCAGGAGGTATTTTCATTGGCAGATTCAGATTTAGTGCCCGGAAAATACGAAGGCGGACTGAAACTATGGGAAGGTTCACTAGATCTTATTACAGCCTTGAACTCAGAAATGAAACATCAGAAGCTATCATTCAAGGGAAAGCGAGTTTTAGAGCTCGGATGTGGTCACGGCCTTCCTGGCATATTTGCTTGTCTGCAGGGCTCCACAGCCGTCCACTTTCAAGATTTTAATGTGGAAGTCCTGAAATGCCTCACAATTCCCAACGTGAATGCTAATCTGGAAAATTTTTCTCCGGAGGACCGTACGAATGTTGAGACGCGGTTTTTTTCTGGTGATTGGGCTGAAGTCGAGCTGGATAGGGCGGCCGGTTATGATGTCATTCTCATGGCTGAGACGGTTTACTCTGTTCCGGCACTGCCTAATCTGTACAAACTTATAAAGAGGTGCCTGAGTTGTCCAGGTGGGGTCGTGTATTTTGCGGCAAAGAAGTATTACTTTGGTGTGGGAGGTGGGTCCCGGAGGTTTTTGTCCATTGTTGAGAAAGATGGTGTTTTGGGGTCTTCTCTTGTTGCGGAGGTTGCGGATGGTTCGTCTAATCTTAGAGAGGTGTGGAAGCTGTATTTTAAGTAAGTCTATGGTATTGAGTGGGTGACTTTATGTTTTTGACTGGTTTGTCAAATTATTTCTGTATGAGTGAACAAGATCCCATAGGTGGATTCAAACTCCTCTTGTGTTGGTTGTTATCATTAACTTTGGTTTTTTGAAGCTGCTCTTTCTACTCGAATTTGATGCTTACTTTGATTAGTAAATACTAATGTGGGTCTATGATCAGGATTTTTGAGGAAATTCTTGCCAAGAAAAACTTACAAATTTCGAGTGTTATTTAACAGATA